TCTCTCTCCCCCCCCCCCCCCTTCCACTCTCTGAAAAGCAACAGAGAAAATATCCTTGGGTCAGGATTAAAAACAAATAAATAAAAATAGAAATAAAAAATGAAACCTTGGGAATAGTGTCATTTAAAGGGACAGTGGACAGGAGAGAAAGAACCAATCATTAAAAGATCTTCCCCACCGCCATCCCCCTAAAAGGAGGAAGAATTATTAGCATGGCAAGAGAAACAAGAGGCTGGAGGAGTTAAGGGGAAAGAGTTTCAAGTTGTTAAATGCCTGCAAAGAGGCCAAGCCGGCCATTAGTGTTGACAGTGGGGTTATGGGATCATCGGTGAGCCTGGTAAGTACAGTTTAGTAGGAGATATCTGGCTGGAAGCCAGGCTGTAACTGGTTGCAACATGAGTGGGAATGAAGATAGAGGCAGTGAATGCAGAATGCCGTCAATGTTTGTAGAGATGAGGAAGGCAGTAGGACAACAGGCTGAGAGAAAAAGTAAAGAAAACCTTTTTTTTCCAAGATGAAACTTGAGCATGCTTGCAGGGAAAGAGCCTGTAAACAAGGAGAGACAAAGGTTACAGAAGAGAAAAGAAATGTTGAGTAAACTGAGCCCCCGGAGAAAGGAGGAGAGAGGTTCTGTAAACAGAGGACTGGCCAAGGGCAGGCGGCAACAGGTGAGTGTAGAGGAGGCAGGCAGAAACGCTGAGAGCATTTACCTCTAAAGAGAACTTGCTTTCTCTTGGGATCAGTTCTCTCTTTACTCTAAAGACAGTGGCTTTTCAAAGACTGCCCTTTTTGAAGGCAACCCATTACAATCTGGCTTCCGGCCAAATGTCTCCTACTCAACTGTCTGTATGACGTTCACCGATGCCCCATCACCCCACTGCCAACTCCAGCGACCCGCTAGACATCACTGCAGGCATCCAACAACTTGCTCTTTCTTGAAACTCTCTTCCCCTTAACTTCTCCAATCTCTAGTTTCTCTTGCCATGCCAATAATTAATTCCTCCTGGGTTTTTTGGGTTTTTTTTTTTTTTTGGTCTTTTACTGATCGTTTCTTCCTCTTCTGCCTACTGACCCTTTAAATAATGGTGTTCCCCAAGTTTCCATTTTTAAATTTTATTCAACTGTACAACTCCTGCTTCCCCTGAGTAAGCCAATGTACTTCTATGGCACAATGCCAAGCAAATAGAAAGTGTTTACTAACTAGCAGCCTATTTATTTGAATGGCTATGACCTCGCTGTCCATATGCCGATGGCTTCCAAATTTCTCTCTCCAGCCTCTGATCAGTAGTCCTTCGGCTGCAGATGCGTATTTCCAACCATCTGAAGGATCTAGCCTAAAAGCTCTCTGAAATGAACACGTTCTACCCTTCCTCCTCCACCCCCAACTCAACAACTCACTCCATTCTTTATTAATGATCTGACCATAATTCCAGTTTGCAGGCTGGAAACAAACCTTGACATAGGCTTCTCCTGCTATCTGAAAGTGGAGCATTCCTGTGAAAGCTTTC